GGTACATGGTCTGAAATAGTTCAATTAAAATCTATCTACAATTATAATTCTTCTTAATGAGACAAGTTAAGACTCTTATGATATCTAGATCTATATTTACACAGGACAAATAGGTGACACCATTTAAACTGCGAAACGTTTCATTTTCCTAATTTGGTAGTGGGCTAAGAGGAAAATTTATTTCGGAATTTGCATTAGAATTAATTTTGATAAGAATTTAGATGTAATACATTTAGAGTGTATCCTGCGCTTTAAACTGATGTATAACCATCACATACATCCTTAGTCCTTTGGATTCGTTAGCACAAAATCTTTTATATAATTGTACATTTCTTTCCCTTATGTAAACGAAAAGGAACTGACTAATTGAATTACGGAAAAGTAGTATCATCGGCATTTTATGGGGAAGCGAAGAATACATTTACCAGGAAAATAAAAATAGCTGCAACTTTAGGAAACTTGCAGAAATGTATTACGCCTATAATTATCATAATAATGCCCGTGGGCATTTTCGTTTAGTATATTATAGTAACGTCCTCTTTTGTATGCCCAACACAGAATTATTTATTTATTTCACAAGGTGCAATCTGAAAGCCGTTAAAACCAACTGAAATATTGAATAGTCTACACAATACACATTAAAGATTTTTCAACAATTTCACACATCAAAATATTATTCAGCACCTTATATTTCTATTAAAAGACAGTTTATATCAAATATCACAAATTTTATAATTTTTTTTTGTAAAGAAAATAAGGCATCAAAGGCATTCTAACCATCCGGTATTCTTGTATGTGGGAAATAAAGTACAAACATGGTTTACGGGGAACTCGATCGCTACATTATTAAATTATCATGTTTTGATATGATACTCTTTCAGAGGAAAATACATGTGATTATCTAATATCTTATATAGACTAATGGTACAACTTCACTAGAGTTAACAAATGGGTTGCATATATGCTGTACCCCAATTTATTTACATTTTTACCTATTATTTCTGTTTGTTTTGTTAACACATTGTTGTCAATATCTAGGAATTTTATGCGACTGCCATACAAGTGAGAGGTTTAGCTAGCTATAAAACCAGGTTTAATCCACCAGCTTCTACATAAGAAAATGCCTGTACCAAATCAGGAATATGACAGTTGTTTTTCATTCGTTTGATGTGTTTGAGCTTCGTTTCTGCCATTTGATATTAAAGGGACTTTCCGATTTGAATTTTCCTTGGGGTTCGGTATTATTGTTATTTTACTCTTTAGATCAATTCTTGTTGAATGTGGTCTTAAATACTAAAATTGAGAATGGAAATGGGGAATGTGTCAAAGAGACAACAACCCGACCATAGAGCAGACAACAGCCGAAGGCCACCAATGGGTCTTCAATGCAGCGAGAAACTCCCGCACCCGGAGGCGTCCTTCAGCTGGCCCCTAAACAAATATGTATACCAGTTCAGTGATAATGGACGTCATACTAAACTCCAAATTATACACAAGAAACTAAAATTAAAAATGATACAAGACTAACAAAAGCCAGAGGCTCCTGACTTGGAACAGGCGCAAAAATGCGGCGGGGTTAAACATGTTTTTTGAGATCTCAACCCTCCCCCTATACCTCTAGCCAATGTAGAAAAAAACAAACGTACAACAGTACGCACAGTAAAACTCAGTTCAAGAGAAGTCCGAGTCCGATGTCAGAATAGGAAACAAAAAAAAATAAACAAAATGACAATAATACATAAATAACAACAGACTACTAGCAGTTACTGACATGCCAGCTCCAGACCTCAATTAAACTGATTGAAAGATTATGTCTTCATCATATGAATATCAGGCACAATCCCTCCTGTTAGGGGTTTAGTATTATACCATCATAAAATATATGAGAAGAACATAACCCGTTTCATGCCAACAACTGGTTTTAGAATAAATATGTTAAATTCCGATGCAAAGACCCTATAAGTGAATCAATATTAAAGCCAAAATATGCAATCTTTAATGACCTGACAGTATCGTAACTATATCCCTACTTAATAAGTCTGTTTAAAGGTTTTGTTAGCTTTTGAGGTGAATACCGACATTTTTGTGCTTTGTAAAGAATATTACCATAAAAGATTGGATGTGAAATACCCGAACGTATAAGATGTCTGCATGTTGAGTTATATTTACGAATGATGTCCTTATACCGATGATAAAATTTAGTTAATACTAGTATATATGGAATAATCAGATACATATTAAAAGAGAATTTTTGAAATCTCTTGTCAAACAAAAACTTGTTGATAAATATATAATACAACACTGGTTTTCAGTTATAAATAACTCTTCAAGTCAGAGAAGATATTGATGGTTCGTTTAAAAATATGTGACAGTCAATTAGAATATTGGGACAGACTGATGGATTATGTATGGCCAAATTTGCAAATTTAAATTGAAATTAAAACAGGAAGGAATCAGTAACTGTTGTTATACCCCGCTAGTAAAGCAGAGGAATATGCTGATCGTTTTTTTTTCGAACTTGGTATCTGGAACTCTTTTCAATCAATGTTTGAAGAAATTTATCGAACTTTCAAAAAATCTAAAGTACCTAAAACATTGCGACCTATATACATGTATTTATTTCTCGTTTCCAATATTTGTGGGGGTTGTTTTAATGTTGTGCGAATTTTGTGTTTTCGGTTTTTTTTTCTTCCGGACAAGGCAATATCAGTTTTCTCTTCCTTAATAACATCATCGTTACTCGATGAACCCATATAACTAGTGCCAGAATAATATACCTAGTTTCTGATATATATTCAAGAGGATGTGGATGGGGCCTGTGTGTACAGAATAGAGAATAATGGGCAAAAGTGCAGAAAAAAATCAATCCCAACCTTTCTTTTGTGGTTATAAACCTTGTGTTCAAATTTCATAGATTTCTATTTACATTTACTTAAGGTAGATAGGGTGTCTTCCTCCATCTTGGATTTTGAAATACCAGAAAACAATCGGTCTAGATCTTTAATAGAAGGTGCAAATTTTGAGAGTAGTAAGTAATTCAAGTGTAAGAATTTTCATTATAATATAGAAAATGACCTATTTTATCATATTTATGGTTGTATTTTATAAAAAAAAAAGAATACTTTTGTTTGATTTTATTTTTTCCAACTTTGCCACATAAGGGGAGGCAACTCAAATGGAAGGGCAGATAATTCAGATAAAGTTACTTTTACAATAGAATGTGTTAGGAATTTACCTTTTTTATTATGTAGCAAGAAAGCGGGTCCCGTGACCCCATTTTTTCTTTTTCTTATCTGAAAGCATACTAGTAGAGCTATCTTCTCATATTTTATCTCAAAATTCTATGGTGTAGTTTTCGTTTTATGGCAAAAAATTGGGTTTTCCATGCATAATCTATACAAAATCTGTCAATTTTGCACAACCTGTAGCGTGAAAATAAGCCCCGTGACCCATTCTTTTTATTATTATTTTTTAAAAAGCATGATATAAACTACATTTCGGCAAATTATTAAAAAATTCTATGGATTATAATTTAGACACCCCATCTACCTTAAGTTATTGTCCGAAAACCAAATGTCTTCGGACGACGCTGACGACGACGACGACGTGATACCAATATACGACCGCAAAATTTTTTGCGGTCGTATAAAAACTACATCAACATCTAATAGTATGGCGTTGTCTTGTAAAAGGTTGTTGACCCATGCCACCGCACATAATTGTGCTGCCATTCAAGTGGTGCAAACAGGTGCAGGTTACAAACTGGCTTGGTACTTGATTGCTGAAAATCGTATGTGATGGAGGCTTTGTGTAGTAATCTATCTAGTAGGTTTGGCGTAATTGTGTTCTATTCTCAATTACACCAGCGAAAGGCTGTGTTTGTATCGAGCTCCCGTAGAACCAAGTCGGATAAAACGTTTCAGCTGAGATTGTGGATCCCATTTTTACCAGTCTGATTTGTTTGTTTGTTTGTTTGTTCGTAAGTATTCAAAGCAACTTTTACAGCTGTTTGATATGTCATGAAGGCCAACTTGTATAATATTGATTAGGGAAGCCGGAGTATCCAAAGAAAATAAATGACATTCGACGGGAAAACTGCCTGTCAGACTTTTATGCTTTCAAAATTGTATACCGACACGTTATAACTGGTTAAAAAGTCAGAAAGAATAGATATCCAAATAATAGGGTAGCGTTCATTTATTCTGTAAAACTGATTTCGATTTAGGAATTTTTGACGGTTATTGAGTTAACAATTCTCCTTTTGTTTGATTTTCACTTAAATCGTCATACTATGTTTAAGGTAATTATCACTGAAGACATTGTTGCATTTAAAATTTTATTGGTTTACGATAATTGTCATCCTGTTGTGTAAATATTTTTTTCTGTTTTTAGGATTAAAAATCTGTTCATGTAAGTTTGATAGACGACTATAATATAGCATACATTTTATTTTTCTGTATTGGAATTCAGGAGACATCATCTAACTTTTAAAGGATCGAATATAATATTTTTCTTTTGTAGTTTTATAGAAGATTTAGAAAATTTAAAGAGTTGACCGTTTCTATGAAATACAGAGGTGCTCCATACTAAAACTGTGCTTACACTTTATCAAACCTTTAACACGTAAAAAGATTAACTTTAATTCATTTTATACATTTTGATCCTCTATAAACCAGGAAATTTCATGTTGAATTTAATTGATCGCTTGTTTTGTATTAAACTTCCATAACATATTGCCGTAACATGTCAAGATGAAGACATGCCGTCAGGGATGCAGCGTTTACTTTGAACATAATCTTTTACTTTACAACACCACCCCTTTGTTTTTGTGCTTATCAGATTTATATGAAATAGCTATAAAATGATTTTGGATGTGCCTATAGTTTTGTCATCTTCAATACCGACATTATTCAGTTTAAAGTTGTTTTTTACTGTTTAACTGTACGTTCTGCTATGCATCCTGTGTTCACTAGCAGTTTCCGAGATGTAAAAAACTAAAATCAATATGCATATATTTAATATTAAGACATGACTTCAGTTCAATGATTGTTATGTACAACCGAGTTCCTTGTCATAGTTAAAAATGTACAACACAACTTAAATATTCTTTAACCAATTTAACATCACAGTATTGGTTGTCTAACGCAGGAAATTAAGAATTGCTTTAGTTTCATCTCCAGTTCCTGTATTCGTGGCCTTAACTTCTATTTCTGTACCTCCAAAAGTTAGCTGAACTGATACCTCACGGTCCTTTCCTCTACGGGTGTCTGGCATCTGTACAGTGAGTTCTCCTAGATAGGCGCATGAGGGATCGTCTGTGTACCGGGGCTTCTTATCTGTTGATGTATAAATTGATACTCGCATTCTAGTCTGATCAGAATACAACGGATAATACATTTTTTCTTCCGTTGCTTCATTGATATGTACAGCTTGTCCAATTTCTACATGTTTGCTGAAAGAATCTTTACACCTGGCTTTTCCATCTACCATTTTTCTTTTGCTTTCGGGATCAATACCTTCCTTGAACCTGGAGTTTGTTCGAACTCCATATGTAAACTTACAAACCCGCGTAGATATAATTCTTGGTTCGTAACCGTATTGAACTGCTCCTTTCAATACTGCTAAACCAGCCTCGTGTGGAATAATTATATTTTTATCTGGAAAGCTTACTTCCACAGCTTTTCGAAGCATGGGAGAATCGGAAAACCCACCAACCATTAGAATTGTATTTGTACCTCTTACTTTTTCTTCATTAAATATGCCTTTCAAATGCTGAACAATGTGTTGACAGGTTGAATCGAAAAATCCTTGCGCCAAAGCTGCATCAACACGCAGTTTGTCACCCACCCATGTTACTCGCTTAGATGAAGACACTGACTGTTTAAAATCTGTACCTTGCTCCCGTTTAAATATTTCGCTTAAAGTACTAGGAACTCTGAATGTCACTTTCGACGTTTGATCTGGTTGGATGTTTCGCTTCTTAATTTCGAATTCTCTGCAGAGGTCCAAGTGTCCAGCTTTATCTTCATCCCGGAATTTATAAACGGTCGCAGGTCCTGCCAGCTCCATCATATATTCTTCAAACGCCTGGTCAACTTTAGTTCCACCCCAATCACCCCCATTTGCCATATACAGTTGTTTAATGGATCCATCAGTTTGTACTTCCTGGACAGTAATATCAACTGTGCCACCTGAAAAGAAAACGTAATGTAGATTTTGAAACGAGTATGATTTAAAGCAATATAACGTTACCATTAATTTCGTGACTAAAGTTTCTGTGTACAAAGTCAACACACATTTGTGCATGATTCCAACCTCATTAAAATACAAATTTTGTGTCCATATGCATGCTTCGCTTACAAAGATCTGACGACGCTCCGTTTTACTGCCTGTTTTCAAGACTCTCGCTCGTCCTGAACATACATGAAATATTTGCAATGGGACGATTTGCAATGCAACCAACAATCAATCAATCAAGACCCTCGGAGTCCTCTGGTTTTGTCGTATTGATACACACATTAAAAATTTGTAGGCCGGAGTTTCATTGGCTGATGTTGCGGGTTGTTGTCAGATCCTTGCAGTTTTGTAATCGAAGCGAGGACATATGATATGTATTTTATAATCAGATTGTTATGATTCCAGCCTCCCCTGTAAACTGCGTTGTGTTTTAAAAAGCTTGGTGAAATATTAAACAACAAAAAACTAGAGGCTCTAAAGAGCCTGTGCCGCTTACCTTGGTCTATGTGCATATCAAACAAAGGACACTCTCCAACATTGTAGACGAGATTAGACTTCATGACAAAAATCTCTATTTTGTTCATCTTGTATTACTGATCTTTAAGTCTGTTTAGTTTCTCTCTATCTTCTTTAGTTTTTGCTCAAGACACAAAAGAGGGTAAAAAAAAAATCCTCATTTAAGGGCAATCACTCCTATGAAGAGTGAAAGTCTGCTAACTATATCGTCAAAATTTGACTTTTTAATAGATCTTGCCTTGCTGATCATTGTTGTGATTTAAAGTGTTTATTTATTTATTATTATTTAAATCATATAAGGCATAACAGAAAAAAAATGTTTCTCTCTAAATATCATAGTTTTCATGATAATAGGCAAAAATGAAAAAAAATGGTAAAATTTGTCATTTATGGGCAATAACTCTTATAAAAATTTGTCAAACAGTTTTGACGTATATGGACTTTTGGTAGAGCTCATAATTCTGAACATTTTTGCTTCTTTCAGATTTTCTCTATTTATAACGGTTCAAAAAATAATAGACAAAACATGCATTTTACCTCTCTGTTCTATTTTTTAGCCATGTCGGCCATGTGGTTGGTAGGCGGGGTCATCGGACAAATTTTTTAAACTAAATACCCTAATGATGATTGTGGCAAAGTTTGGTTAAATTTGTCTCAGTAGTTTCAGAGGAGAAGAATTTCGTAAAAGATTACAAAAATTAACAATAAAATAAACAGTTGGTTGCAAATTTGGACACAATATTCAAGCTTGATACTGTCTGATTTTGGATTGTGATCAAATTTTTGACATAATATAGGTTTCTGACACAAAATAAATGTGGTCAAAGTTCTTAAAAATCTATTGCACAATACTTTGCATTTGAAGATTTCTTCTTACAACTATACAAAAAATTTGAAATTTGAAAAAATTTGAAAAAAAATATAATAAAATTGGAACCCCCCCCCCCAAAAAAAAGTTTTTGATTCCCGCATCGAGCAATTACCCCCAAACTCAATCCCAACCTTCCCTTTATAGAATAGAACCTTGTAGTACAATTTTAGAGAGATCCATACACTTGAACACAAGTTATAGTCTGGAAACTAGAAAAATGCTTGTTTTTTGGCCCCTTTTTTGCCCCTGATTCTTGCATGTTTGGGGCAATTACCCCCAAACTCAATCACAGCCTTTCCTTTGTGATATGGAACCTTGTGGTACAATGTCAGAAAGATCCATACACTAACACACAAGTTATTGTCCAGAAACTAAAAAAATGCTTGTTTTTTGCCCCTTTTTGGCCCCTAATTCCTAAAATTTTGAGGCAATTACCCTCAAAATCAATCCCAGCCTTCCCTTTGTGGTATGGTACCTTGCAGTACAATTTCAGAGAGATCCATACACTTGAACACAAGTTATTGTCTGGAAATTAGAAAAATGCTTATTTTTGGCCCCTTTTTGCTCAACGTTTCGGGCAATTACCCCCAAACTCAATTCCAGCTTTCCCTTTCTGATATGGAACCTTGTGGTACAATGTCAGAAAGATCCATACACTAACACACAAGTTATTGTCCAGAAACTAAAAAAATGCTTCTTTTTGGCCCCTAATTCCTAAACTGTTGGTACCATAACCCCCAAAATCAACCCCAACCTTGCTTTTGTGGTATTAAACCTTCCTGTCAAATTGCATAGAGATCCATTCACTTAAACTAAAGTTATTGTCTGGAAACCAAATGTGTCTTCGGACGACGACGACGACACAGGCGGGCCGGGTCATCGGACACATTTTTTTAAACTAGATACCCCAATGATGATTGTTGCCAAGTTCGGTTAAATTTGACCCAGTAGTAGTTTCAGAGGAGAAGATTTTTGTAAAAGTTAACGGACGACGACGGAGACGACGACGACGGACGACGGACGCCAAGTGATGAGAAAAGCTCACTTGGCCCATAGGGCCAGGTGAGCTAAAAACTTATTGTATAGCTTATCAATTCAAACCATTATCTTCACACTAACACAGATATGGCATGTTTCGCCATTGGACACTGATCAAAACTCTGATGAAAAATAAAGTACAAAGTACGAGAAAAAAATAGCATCATTTCAAAAATTCTATGAAATTTCATTAAAAATGCAAGTTGTTTAAAACTAACGTTTTAAGAAGCCTACTCTCCTTTGTGGTAAAGTCCATGTTTTGATATGAAAATCCCTTGCTAAATCATTCGGAACAATAAGTAAAGTAAGAGCTGCACTATTATATTATGTAAGAAAGATTTGGTAAACGTTTTATATATATCTAGTCCGTGGTTTTGGAAGACGAGACAACAAACACATTCTTCTTCTTCTCTTCTCTTCTTGCTTCACTTATTGGGAGTGCAAGTCAAATTCATAAACCAAAAACAAATATACACACCCACACTATAAAATATCACAGAACAAACAAACAAGAAATAACAAACTTCTTTCTTTAAAACCCAAAATTTGTGTTCTAATAGGAAAAAAAATGTTATATATATATATAGCACGCCTTTTACGAATTAACGCATTCAATTCACGAAAAGCGCAGCTTTGAGTGGATTAAATATGTTAATGAGTAAGTCGTGGCTATATGTGATTTGTAACATTAATGGGCTATGACACATTTCAGAGGTTAAATACTGACCAATAAAACTTTACTTTTCAATATGTCAATCAAATAGTGGCGTGATACTATATTTGATTTTTTTTAAATGTGTTATTGAATAGTTTTTTCTCCCCGAAAATTCTTGAGGGGGGGGGGGGGGGTTTAGATGCAAAATTTTATTCGATGTTCATCTGTCTTGAAACCCCGTGTAGTTTCAAAGGCGTTTTAATGTTGCGATAAGAAAAAAGCATTTTCCAATACCAATATATGAAAGTCATTAATACTAGTTTTCCATTCCCAGCAACTGTAAAAAGATTGATAAATTGATTTGAATGGTTGTCAATTGCGAGTAAGGTCCAGGGACAAATATTAGAAGCATGAACAATTCACGGAGATAGACCTTTATTAAATGGAGAAAAATACTAAACATCCAATGACATATATATGTTTTAGAATATTATTAATTTTGAGAATAAAAACAGGAACCAAACCATAACAACAGTAGGAAAATGTATAGTCATTTCTATTACATTTGGTTTCATTTTTTCATTATTTACTTCTCGAAGGAGGCGGAGCCAGACTGTGCATTAATAACTTCTGAGATGGAAGTTAGAGCACTGGATTAAGCTCCTCCGATTCTTTGCTATTCCAACGAGTTGTGGTCAACGGCGGGATTGCAGAGTGCAATAACTAAAAAATCATTCAGGTAACGCACTCCTCTAAAAATAACCGAAGGTAATTCACTTGAAGATAAAAGTAAAAATTACCATTCATGGTACAATATAGTTTTGTTTTCAAAAACACGTTAACACGTTAACCATTACTTAAAGTCAGCAAAAAAAGTAAAATAACAATACCAAACTCCAAGGAAAATTCAAAACGGAAAGTCCCTCATCAAATGGCAACATCAAAAGCTCAAACACATCAAACGAATGGAAAACATCTGTCATATAGTCAACAGAACCCTGACAGAACGACGTGATTACTTTACAACGATTCTTTCAATCAAATAGTATATATAATTAGTAGTTGACTAATAACACAAATTAGTATGTAAATTATAAAAGGTGTGGATAAGGTTTAAAAATATAGTGTCTGAATATTACATGAGAAGGTGGAATTCAGAAATTAACTGGATATTTTTGAGGAAAAAATACTTGATTCGGAAACAGATGTTAACAATTATCCATTAAAGTCCATATCATGTGGATTATGAAGCTAATACGGATGGAGAGCTCGAGGGTTGCACGGATTCGGATTTTTATACCTCGTTAAACTCGACGAAATTACGATGGAATTATCTTTTCCAGGGTGGAACCGCTTGTCCCATACACTGTCCCCCTTTTTAAACGCTTTGGAACTATACCACATAATAAATTACGTAACATTTTACATACCCCCAGCATCTAGTATAAGATATTTTGTGCCTGGTGAGAACGCTCCCAGTGCCGATTTTCCACCTGAATCTAAACGTTCTGTAGGCAGATGTTTACAGTATATAGAAGCAGCTTCTGGTTCCAAGGCCAACATCAATTGGCTGTTGGGGATGCCTCCCTGCAAATAAAATATATTTCAACAATTACAATTGATGATTTGGGATTTGACGATACACACTGTTCTATTCTAATGTGATACTAGTATGAGGTTCAAAATATATATAACAAAAACAGTTATCCGGAAACTGCGCAACGTTATTGCCAATAATTTCGACCGTCCATCCTGAAATTGATGACAAACTTGATTTGACGTATACAAATATTATGAATTGGCCAGAATTTAAACTCAATGAATATGTTATATCGAGCATTTTTACAACTTTCAATTGACAAGTCGCAATGACCACGTGGTAACAATTAAGTAAGTACCTTGACGGCAGCTTCCCTCATAAACTGTTTGGCTGGATCAGACCAGATAGCAGGCACGGTAAGAACCCATGTGATCTCCGTCTTTCTTACCGGAATATCTCTCTTGGCTATTTGTTCCATTAAATGTCCCCGAAGGTAGTTAATGCTCTCTGAAATGACCTTAAGTGCTTCCAGATGTTTCCCTTGGTCATCTTCTATTGTAAGATTACGTGGTATCTCCTTCAAGGGAAAAAAAAGGTAGTTTAATTGTTAGTGTTGACATTTTAATATTGTTTAAGACCATATGTAATGATCATAATGTTGACAAAACTTCAAAATGTGAAATGCACAACATAATGTTAAAAAAATTTTTTTTTAACATTTTTATTAAGTACAATTTTCACATTTTAACTTCTCAAATTCGGAATCACTGTCTGTTGCAATACTTTTCAGCAATTTGTCCCATATTGATAACGTATCGGCCTTTCAAGTAAGAATATTAAGTTCAGTTGTGCAAGTTCGTATTGTTTGTATTATACCACGTGGTGCTTTGGCTATTTCTTGGCTTTTTATTGGAAAGATTATCTCAATGGTCATTTTGTTCACCTATAAAACAGTATCGCTCTCAAGATATATATTGACCTGGGCGTTCCCATTATGACAGTGTAAAACTTTAGAAATAAAGAACCAAAAATGCAACTACTTGTACCATATAGTGTTTTGTTCTGGATCAACACTTTTTTTATTTTACGTTTTTCTGCGTACATGGACATTGATAAAAAATGCCAATGTATAATATTGTCCTACGCTAGGAATCTCGTCAGCGGTTGTCTTAAATCATATCTCCAGTAAATAATTTGTTCTTATAAAATTTGGTGTTTAAGGCGGTTCGTCGTTAGTTTTGTTTATAAGATGTATCCACACAACTTTTCTAGACGCGGAGACAATTGTTGAAAACCATATTTTGACCTAAAAGCGTGTTAATTTTTCGTGTTGTTCGGTTTGTGTCTTAATGACTCGACCTCTCATTATTAAATTATTCATATATTATATAAATATCACATCCGTAAGCTAAGTACTGCTTTGGTTACTTTAATAGCGTTGTCTTATAAGTTAAAAGATAAAATAAAGGAGGAATTAAAATGTGTAAAAGAGGGCAAACCGGCATCAGCGTATGACATATGATAATAGGGTTTTAATTAGGGATAGGGTTAGTTTCGGTTCGGTTTGGGCTCAGGTTATGGTAAAAGTGAGGTCGTTCCCGCTATTTTTACCACCCGACAAAACCAGTTTAGACGTTTTGGTACTGGTTGGTCGGCGCCTTAAAGTATACATAGTTTACGTACATGATTTTTGTACAACTGCATTTTAAACCTGCTGAAAAAGTACCAACTTTGATGATCCTCACTTTCTGCAAGTGCTGTATACTTTTCCTCAGCCTCTGCTCCAAATGAATCAAAATCACCTCTGGGATTAAACAATACACATGTCGGGGTCTTCAGTGAAAGTCCTGCCTGAGAACCTAATGTCCACGTAAACCCTGATATTTTCAGAGGGTCTTCTTTATAGTCACTCTTAAAGGCAAATGCGTACCCAGAAAAGGTCGTACCAAAATCAATGGCCGCCACCAACAAAGAATCAGAAATAGTTTCATAATTATTAGCCATCTCTTTTTTACTTTTCAGTTTCAACTTTCATCTTATGTTTTATGTCGATCCTACAAAGTTGAGGGAAATATAAAAAACATCAAATGCATCACAAAGTTATACATAAATACTAACAAATTGTGTATATGTTGGACGTACTATTAAAAAAGGAAACTGACCTTTAATTTGTCGCAACAAAGATTAAATAATATTAACCTCTCTCTAATTACCAGATTTTTACTTGCTATGAAAAACACTACGAGTGCCAATTTTATACAAGAACAGCTTAGTCGTCCGGGCACTTAGTTTGGTTTTTAAAGGGGTTCATGTTGCTTTTGCTTCAGTTTTCATTGTTGTACGTAATTGTTATTTTTTTTCAATGTCTGTATGTTTTTTTTTCTAGTGCTAACAAGTTTGTCTTTATAATATACAACAAAAACCACAAAAAAACATTTCTCCATTCAAACTTTCACATTCGGTTTTGGTTGTAGAGAATCTGCATGTATCGATGGTTCATGAATGTATCCTGCAAAGAGCTAGACAAGAGACATATTGTTATTAATGATGCCAGATCACTGTATATGATTCATGATCAATGTATATTAAAAGGACCAAAAACGGTGGTTGCCAATAGTAGAGCAGGACTGAATATGCGAGTTTCCCCCGGGTTTTGGCGGGGTTCGTGTTACTATCAAAGCTGTAGTTTTCTGTGTACATAGTGTTTTGTTGACATTTTACTTTTGGTCATTGTGTTGTTTATTTTTCTTCGACTTATGGGTTTTTATTGTCCCCTGGTATCTTATCCCTCTTTTTGTCTAGAATATACCAATAACCCAATATAAATATAGCCTCGTCTGTTATTGGAAGTAAAATTCATGCTTTCGGAAATGATATTTGAAGGAGCTGACCTACTTACATTTTTATCTTTTAAAAAATGGTAACTTGATAACTGGTTTGTTATAAGTTTTCATAATCTACTATATTAACAAGCACGTTATAAAGAATAATATCCCTGTAAAGAATGTCTTTTTTGCAAGGTGCGAGGGAGATAATTTCCAACAGTTATATGACTTTCTGTGAAGTGTCTACTTTCAGTTTCTGTTTTATGAAAATATAAAACGTTTAAACAACTGCAATTCTATATTCAATAAAATATGTGTCATAAGAAAACCACGAAATGATGTATTGTCAGAATTTGTATTATGATGATTATGTCATAGATGTATAAAACCATGGGTTTTTACATGCATCTATGGTTATATTATTTTGTTATTAATCAGCTGTTTCTTCAAATCAGATAATAAAGGATTCGATATTGAAAACAAAAATAATCAGAAATTATGTTCAGATATGAGATATCTTTAAAATACCTTACCGTTTTATTTTTCGGAGCAGATTTAATGCGTCAATAAACACTATCACTCTATATATATCTGATAAGACACAAGTATTTTTACCATATCAATGACGTTTAAATCACGTGAACAATTAACTTCCGTGTTGATTTGGTGACAACCCAAAAAATACACAAGATTCCAGCTCCCTGAAATACAGGTATATACTGATTAATATAGTTTGAAATATAGATAATTCAAATAGTCGCTTAAATGTATTTAGACACATGTAATCATATAAAAATGCAACATTTCTTTTAATATCGAAAGTTATAAATATATATACGGTCATTCATTCCAAAAAAAGTTAAAACTGTTTGTAAACAAATTTACACAGGTTCATCATTTTTGCATAGCTGGGAGAGGGTTACAAATGCATTTCTTCTTCATTCGAATAAAAGTCGATTATTAAAAACTAGAAAATATGTGATTTAGACCAAAATAAGCACTCTAGATAATACATTTCATAGTTAACAACACTGCGATGTATTGTTTTTAATGTAACTAGTCATGTTAGGGTTTATTAACGGCAAAAGCTATAATTTTTCTGAATATTTCTGAATATGCCTGCATTATCCCTACTTCATTATAGGTATTTCAGAAGACCTTAACTGATATTACACCAGATATGACACTTATTTTTTTCACACATATATACAGAGTATATACATAGAGTATATACATGGTATAAAGAGTAATGTAATGCAAGAGACTTCTTTTAAGCTTATACTTACATCAAGGCATGCTCTTACCAAAGTCTGTCCTGTATACAGGAGTTATCTTCTCTTGCTAAAATAGACAAACAGACTGTTAATTGATTGTTGACTGTTTTAAACGACATTCATTGAAAAAGATATTTTAAGCACATGTGCTTAGCGCGTTTAATAAGGTAAAATAAACAGAGAAAATTTAATAAAGAAACTTTAAAATTCATATAACAAAGAAAATAATAAAACAGAAATGGTCACTTTCTTAAGCGACTGTGGCTTTGGTATTAACGTACTTTTGCTGATTATTTTCTTGAAAGTTAAATTCGAATTATTACAATTAATTCACGAGACAGAAAATTAAAACCACATGACTAATTCGTCATTTTATTTTAAGGCATTATCAGCATTTTTATTTAAATGATTACATCTAATGTTAACACAAATCATAATGCAATATGGACCGATATGGATATTTTTAGAATTTCAACAAAAAAGATTTTCAAGTATTTCTAAATAACTTCGAATGAATTATTTTACAAATTTCTTCAACTTTTTTACATTTCTCAAAATGTATTATTTTTAAATTAAGTAATTTTTAAGTCATCTTATACAATGCTGGATAGAAAATGCACATGAAATGAACATATTTTATTGGCATCATTATAGACGTAGCAGTGCTTTAGTATGGCCGCTGGTGAGACAATCTCTGAGTCTCTGTTCGTAGCAGCAATTGACTTTGGTACAACGTTTTCTGGGTATGCTTTTGGTAATAGAAGTGATTACAAGGATGATCCATCCAAAGTAGCCGGTTGTCACTGGAGTACTGGTTCACAACCGGGGCTCTCCATGAAGACACCTTCGTGTATTTTGTTTGATCCAGAAGAAAACTTTGACTCCTTCGGTGGAGAAGCAGAAGATAAATACACAGAACTAGCACAAGAGGAAGAACATGGTGACTGGTATTTTTTCAGAAGATTTAAAATGCAGCTTTATGAAAAAGAGGTATTACTTATATGAATGTAGTAGTCTGTTCTGCTGCATGGAGACATAAATTAAACTCAAGGCGGATGTAATGCTTTTTTTAAATTTTGTTCTTGAAACATAAGTTCAGTTAAATAAATGCATAATAAAATATAGAAACTTTTCAAACAATCCGAAGTGTGTTTGTTATATTCATGAAAGAAAATATCCAGAAAAAAAACACGTGATGATGCTCATATATGTGTTTGTTATACTTCATTTATTCAACAATCAAGAGGTAGAATTCTATCCTTTCTTCTGCATCACAGACCATACTAATTGATACATGGATCAATGCTGTCCTAAAAAATGAACATGAAATAAAGACAATTGTTTATAATACTATACAAAACTAATCCTGGCCTTTATAGGTTATGTCAATTCACATTGATCAGAAATAGAAAAAAAGCCAGAGACGTTTTTGTACCTTTTGCAATAGACATTCACTTTGACATTACGTCACGGGGGTAGAAGATTTTTATTCCTTCCCACATTTATTATGGATAATATATGTCAAATTCCGTCAAAGTCAACACATTTTTGGTTAAGCACCCTTTAAGTCCAGAACATTTCCTATATTGTCTATGTAACTAAGATAGTTTTTCAAAATAGAATTATTTTACCTACCTACCAAATTATCTTTTCATCCTAGAGAGAGGAAACAGATATATTTATTTTACCTTGTCTTTAACAGTACATGTAGGTAAGTGTGTATACTATGTAAATACATTTATATCACCCGAGTCTTGCACAAAGTTGTGGTTAAGTATAAAAGAGACAATAAAAATTATAAACGTATACATATATCTACTGATCTGTCCATCCTCAGTCCTCAGCAGTAATTAAAGTTCAATGTTTCGTATGAAAACATTTACAATGATATAAAAGTGTAGGTTGACAAACTGCAGATGGTAACAAAGTGCTCCGTACTTCATTATTCAACAGATAATACTGATATTTGTAATTAAGATTTAAATTAAAAAAATTAAAAAGGTTAATAAATGGAAACAACAATTATACAGAGTATCTTATTATGTCTGCAGGAAGTATCAAAAGACTTCATGTTGGAAGGAGAAAATGGTTTACAAATGCCAGCCATAAAAGTGTTTGCAGAAAGCATCAAATTCCTGCGAACACACTTTGAGGATCATATAAAAAATAAAGCCGATGAAATCAAACCACGGGATGTAGAATGGGTGTTGACCGTACCAGCCATCTGGCCAGATCCAGCTAAAAAGTTTATGAAAGAAGCTGCTAATGCTGTATGTATAAGGTTCAATGTTTTAAAATACATTGAAGTCTTTAAAAAGGTCAATGTCAAATACAATGAGGTCTTTCATTTTTGAACTATAAATAAGATATTTTGATGTGGCTCAAGGCCCAACTTTTAAAAATTGTAACTAAGGGCAGTTGTTTTTATTCCTGTTTTGTTGGGAGAAGAAATGGCCATGTATACATAGGTCTTTCACGTCTTTATATTCAGTTTTCTTGTTGCAAGGTAAACTGATTATAAGAACAGCGAAATTTTAATTGGATTGCATAAAGTGTAAGAATGTACATCAAAAGCAACAAAGACGGTCTGCTTTACTTTGATACGATACTTGAGAGTATAATGGGCGTTTTCTCTTCGAAAGATCCAGGGGCGGATCCAGGATTTTGGAAAGGGGGGGCGAAGTATGTAAAGATCGCCGAGCGGAGCGAGGCGAGAATTTTTTTGGACCTTTCTTTGGCTAAAAAACATAAAATAAGTGTAAAATGCAACTTTTTAACGGTTCCTGACGTGGGGCATGTATATTTTATATTAAAAGTGTAAGGGTTGGACATTTTTGATGCCGTTTTCTCCCCATTAGTTGTCTATTATAAAATGATTGGATGGATCCAAAGCTATGTACTAATATATTTGATGTGGGACTTGTCAGTAAAAAAATGACATGGAAAATTCTCGTTTGTTCTATGTTTAGTTAGCATAACCTCACGGATTTCTTGTTGTAAACAAGATATACGCCGGGCTATTCAATGAAATTTACAATTCGACCGACACGAGTTAAGAAAGACAAACAAGCAATTTTTATCCAAATGTTTGGTTGAAATGTTTCACCCAACAAGGGAAGTGAGGAGTTCCAAATCAACCAAAGGCTACGAATGAGTCTGAAATGACAACGAATTTATGAATTACGGTCGACAAATGGAGACATAAAGGCCACATCCCGCAGGCAGGTTGCAGTCGGGCCTTGAAAAAAGTATTCATTTTATCAGTTCGACGAAACAGACATTCCGGTCAGATATGGGATTTACATGCAAACCCCCGGCCCCAAATAAATTACGCCCGTTTTTTTATTCATCATGTTCATTTAATGCTAAATAATTCTGTTGGGAATTTTTGTTTCTAATAACAAAATAGTGGACAAGATCATTGTTTTCAATCCAGATACGGCCAGAATTTTTGTTTAAGGCAAAAATCAGGGTCAGAATTTTTTCTATCAAATATCTCAGACTGCCCCCTCAAATCAAATGGTCCGTACCTTAGACTTTAAATCTATCTGGAGCTTATTGACTGGGGATCATTATTCAGCTATGTTATTAATAGGCTGGGGCGTGTGGGGTTAAACATGTTTTCGTAGGTAAATAATATCGCTGTGGAACTTTTTTTTCATGAGAGTGTAATAGAGTATTACTTTCTGTTTGGTGGAGTTGTGAAATAGAAGTCAATAAATACGTTCTTGCTCAATCCTTTGTCGCTTTGAAGATGTCATGCTTGTCTTCCTCAGCCTAAGCAATGTGTTACTGTAATTTGAATTTCAAAATGACTGAGTGACGTTTTTTCGACGCACTGGTCAACTCCACCGTATCGAATCACATGATTTTGACATAATCAATAATATATTACAGTAAATACGAGCGAAACATATCTTTATAAGTAAAGAATTGTCGCATAAAAATTAAATACGCGGGAAATGGCAAAGTTCACGAAGTCTAGTCTGATTAATCATTTTACAAAAAAAAAAAAAGTGCAAGCAAAGGGGGGGCGTACGCCCTCTACGCCCCCCTCTGGATCCGCCACTGAGATCTATGAACGACACCTTGAGTTTGTTGACCGTTACGATATATATGTGGTTCATTCCTCCTATTCCCACTTTTTTAAAATCTGGTAAGAAAAGTTAAAATTTCATGTGGGAATAGGAGGAAAACTTGTGCAAACAAAGGATTATACTGTATAAACATTGTGTAATCAACTTTTAATTAACCAGCGTTTTTTTTTGATAGGTAATAGGTTATTTTTGTATGTGTATGAATTCTGTGTTTTTAATTTAAATAAATATGAAAGAAATGGAAACAAATGTAGTAAATTATTCTATTTCTTTTATAACACAAATTCTGCAGTAGAGTCAATCAAGCATTATAATATGAAACAAACAATACAAGTTAAAAGCACTAAAACAAATCATACATTGAAGCACACACATTAGAAATTCACTGTATATTAGTCTATCAAAGTTTATTAATCTATTCAACGTGAATAAGGTGGGAGGCTGTATCACCAAACTGTAATGTTGTGACTTCCTGGTTGATTTTTTTTGGACCTTTCTTTGGCTAAAAAACATAAAATAAGTGTAAAATGCAACTTTTTAACGGTTCCTGACGTGGGGCATGTATATTTTATATTAAAAGTGTAAGGGTTGGACATTTTTGATGCCGTTTTCTCCCCATTAGTTGTCTATTATAAAATGATTGGATGGATCCAAAGCTATGTACTAATATATTTGATGTGGGACTTGTCAGTAAAAAAATGACATGGAAAATTCTCGTTTGTTGTATGTTTAGTTAGCATAACCTCACGGATTTCTTGTTGTAAACAAGATATACGCCGGGCTATTCAATGAAATTTACAATTCGACCGACACGAGTTAAGAAAGACAAACAAGCAATTTTTATCCAAATGATTGGTTGAAATGTTTCACCCAACAAGGGAAGTGAGGAGTTCCAAATCAACCAAAGGCTACGAATGAGTCTGAAATGACAACGAATTTATGAATTACGGTCGACAAATGGAGACATAAAGGCCACACCCCGCAGGCAGGTTGCAGTCGGGCCTTGAAAAAAGTATTCATTTTATCAGTTCGACGAAACAGACATTCCGGTCAGATATGGGATTTACATGCAAACCCCCGGCCCCAAATAAATTACGCCCGTTTTTTTATTCATCATGTTCATTTAATGCTAAATAATTCTGTTGGGAATTTTTGTTTCTAATAACAAAATAGTGGACAAGATCATTGTTTTCAATCCAGATACGGCCAGAATTTTTGTTTAAGGCAAAAATCAGGGTCAGAATTTTTTCTATCAAATATCTCAGACTGCCCCCTCAAATCAAATGGTCCGTACCTTAGACTTTAAATCTATCTGGAGCTTATTGACTGGGGATCATTATTCAGCTATGTTATTAATAGGCTGGGGCGTGTGGGGTTAAACATGTTTTCGTAGGTAAATAATATCGCTGTGGAACTTTTTTTTCATGAGAGTGTAATAGAGTATTACTTTCTGTTTGGTGGAGTTGTGAAATAGAAGTCAATAAATACGTTCTTGCTCAATCCTTTGTCGCTTTGAAGATGTCATGCTTGTCTTCCTCAGCCTAAGCAATGTGTTACTGTAATTTGAATTTCAAAATGACTGAGTGACGTTTTTTCGACGCACTGGTCAACTCCACCGTATCGAATCACATGATTTTGACATAATCAATAATATATTACAGTAAATACGAACGAAACATATCTTTATAAGTAAAGAATTGTCGCATAAAAATTAAATACGCGGGAAATGGCAAAGTTCACGAAGTCTAGTCTGATTAATCATTTTACAAAAAAAAAAAAGTGCAAGCAAAGGGGGGGCGTACGCCCTCTACGCCCCCCTCTGGATCCGCCACTGAGATCTATGAACGACACCTTGAGTTTGTTGACCGTTACGATATATATGTGGTTCATTCCTCCTATTCCCACTTTTTTAAAATCTGGTAAGAAAAGTTAAAATTTCATGTGGGAATAGGAGGAAAACTTGTGCAAACAAAGGATTATACTGTATAAACATTGTGTAATCAACTTTTAATTAACCAGCGTTTTTTTTTGATAGGTAATAGGTTATTTTTGTATGTGTATGAATTCTGTGTTTTTAATTTAAATAAATATGAAAGAAATGGAAACAAATGTAGTAAATTATTCTATTTCTTTTATAACACAAATTCTGCAGTAGAGTCAATCAAGCATTATAATATGAAACAAACAATACAAGTTAAAAGCACTAAAACAAATCATACATTGAAGCACACACATTAGAAATTCACTGTATATTAGTCTATCAAAGTTTATTAATCTATTCAACGTGAATAAGGTGGGAGGCTGTATCACCAAACTGTAATGTTGTGACTTCCTGGTTGATTTTTTTTTGGACCTTTCTTTGGCTAAAAAACATAAAATAAGTGTAAAATGCAACTTTTTAACGGTTCCTGACGTGGGGCATGTATATTTTATATTAAAAGTGTAAGGGTTGGACATTTTTGATGCCGTTTTCTCCCCATTAGTTGTCTATTATAAAATGATTGGATGGATCCAAAGCTATGTACTAATATATTTGATGTGGGACTTGTCAGTAAAAAAATGACATGGAAAATTCTCGTTTGTTCTATGTTTAGTTAGCATAACCTCACGGATTTCTTGTTGTAAACAAGATATACGCCGGGCTATTCAATGAAATTTACAATTCGACCGACACGAGTTAAGAAAGACAAACAAGCAATTTTTATCCAAATGTTTGGTTGAAATGTTTCACCCAACAAGGGAAGTGAGGAGTTCCAAATCAACCAAAGGCTACGAATGAGTCTGAAATGACAACGAATTTATGAATTACGGTCGACAAATGGAGACATAAAGGCCACACCCCGCAGGCAGGTTGCAGTCGGGCCTTGAAAAAAGTATTCATTTTATCAGTTCGACGAAACAGACATTCCGGTCAGATATGGGATTTACATGCAAACCCCCGGCCCCAAATAAATTACGCCCGTTTTTTTATTCATCATGTTCATTTAATGCTAAATAATTCTGTTGGGAATTTTTGTTTCTAATAACAAAATAGTGGACAAGATCATTGTTTTCAATCCAGATACGGCCAGAATTTTTGTTTAAGGCAAAAATCAGGGTCAGAATTTTTTCTATCAAATATCTCAGACTGCCCCCTCAAATCAAATGGTCCGTACCTTAGACTTTAAATCTATCTGGAGCTTATTGACTGGGGATCATTATTCAGCTATGTTATTAATAGGCTGGGGCGTGTGGGGTTAAACATGTTTTCGTAGGTAAATAATATCGCTGTGGAACTTTTTTTTCATGAGAGTGTAATAGAGTATTACTTTCTGTTTGGTGGAGTTGTGAAATAGAAGTCAATAAATACGTTCTTGCTCAATCCTTTGTCGCTTTGAAGATGTCATGCTTGTCATCCTCAGCCTAAGCAATGTGTTACTGTAATTTGAATTTCAAAATGACTGAGTGACGTTTTTTCGACGCACTGGTCAACTCCACCGTATCGAATCACATGATTTTGACATAATCAATAATATATTACAGTAAATACGAGCGAAACATATCTTTATAAGTAAAGAATTGTCGCATAAAAATTAAATACGCGGGAAATGGCAAAGTTCACGAAGTCTAGTCTGATTAATCATTTTACAAAAAAAAAAAAGTGCAAGCAAAGGGGGGGCGTACGCCCTCTACGCCCCCCTCTGGATCCGCCACTGAGATCTATGAACGACACCTTGAGTTTGTTGACCGTTACGATATATATGTGGTTCATTCCTCCTATTCCCACTTTTTTAAAATCTGGTAAGAAAAGTTAAAATTTCATGTGGGAATAGGAGGAAAACTTGTGCAAACAAAGGATTATACTGTATAAACATTGTGTAATCAACTTTTAATTAACCAGCGTTTTTTTTTGATAGGTAATAGGTTATTTTTGTATGTGTATGAATTCTGTGTTTTTAATTTAAATAAATATGAAAGAAATGGAAACAAATGTAGTAAATTATTCTATTTCTTTTATAACACAAATTCTGCAGTAGAGTCAATCAAGCATTATAATATGAAACAAACAATACAAGTTAAAAGCACTAAAACAAATCATACATTGAAGCACACACATTAGAAATTCACTGTATATTAGTCTATCAAAGTTTATTAATCTATTCAACGTGAATAAGGTGGGAGGCTGTATCACCAAACTGTAATGTTGTGACTTCCTGGTTGAGGTATCTATCCATAAGCTCTTCTAATCTGTTGTTGATTTTGACATACTTTCGTTTTTGGGCCACTCTCTTCCTACCGGCTGCATACTGGATCATGGTCAGGGCGTAGCTTCCTCATGTTTCAGTAGTTTTATGACTTTAAAGACGTTTGGATGTGGGTTCTGGAATGTTTCTTCCGCTTGCTTTGCCATCCCTTTAGATGATATGTAGTCCGCAGTCCCTGTGTTGTGTAATTTTTCAATCAGTGTTTTGTTACATAGTCTGTAAAGGGCGTGTAGTTGATGTTAGTATCAATCTGATCTATGTCGACTAGGGCATTAAACCACACATCTTCAACCTCAGCAGTAAGTACATGTGGAAGGACAGCGGCACGGCGTACTAGTTGATGAATGTTGTTGTCTTTCTTGTATGGAACCTGAATCCCGGAATACGACTTATCATCATACGTTTTACTTGTCACAGGCAACACGATGGGTGTTCAAACGTTTTACTTGTCACAGGCAACACGAGGGGTGTATAAACGTTTTACTTGTCACAGGCAGCACGAGGGGTGTTCAAACGTCTTACTTGTCACAGGCAACACGAGGGTGTTTAAACGTTTTACTTGTCACAGGCAACACGATGGGTGTTTTAACGTTTTACTTGTCACAGGCAACACGAGGGGTGTTTAAACGTTTTACTTGTCACAGGCAGCACGAGGGGTGTTCAAACGTTTTACTTGTCACAGGCAACACGAGGGGTGTTCAAACGTTTTACTTGTCACAGGCAACACGATGGGTGTTCAAACGTTAAACTGTTCACAGGCAACACGATGGGTGTTCAAACGTTTTACTTGTCATAGGCAACACGATGAGAGTTCGAACGTTTTACTTGTCATAAGCAACACGATGGGTGTTCAAACGTTTTACTTGTCATAGGCAACATAATGTGTGTTCAAACGTTTCACTTCTCATAGTCAACACGATGGGTGTTCAAACGTTTAACTTGTCATAGGCAACATGATTGGTGTTTAAACGTTTTGCTTGGTATAGGCAACACGATGGGTGTTTAAACGTTTTACTTGGTATAGTCAACACGATGGGTGTTTAAACGTTTTACTTGTTGTAACACGATAGATGTTTAAACGTTTTACTTGTCATAGGCAAAACGATGGGTGTTCAAACGTTTTACTTGTCATAGGCAATACGATGGGTGTTTAAACGTTTTACTTGTCACAGGCAACACGAAGATTGTTTAAACGTTTTACTTGTCATACGCAACACGACGGGTATTCAAACGTTTTACTTATCATAGGCAATACGATGGGTGTTTAAACGTTTTACTTGTCATAAGACAACACGATGGGTGTTTAAACGTTTTACTTGTCATAAAAATCATGCAAAACACGATGGGTGTTTAAACGTTTTACTTGTCATAGGCATAACGATGGGTGTTTAAACGATTTACTTGTCATATGCAACACTTTTGGTGTTTAAAAGTTTGACTTGTCATATGCAACACGATGGGTGTTTAAACGTTTTACTTGTCATAGGCAATACGATGGGTGTTTTTTAGGAACCAGGAACAGCTTACTCATCTTGAGTAGTTCCCTTCGGTAAAGTAGGACCTCATACTGGTCAATCAAGAGTGTTATTTAATTATATTAATGATTTATTTATGTTTTATCTTTTCACCTTTTTGTTTTTGCTTTATGGCTATGGTATTGTGTTTTTTCGTCAACTCGTAATTTTTTATTGCCCCGGTTTATATTATCCGTATCCTGTCGTTAATAGCAGCTTCTATGAAAATCACGTTGATTGCCAAATTGGAATACTCTATATACAATCATTTTGTTTGGTGGTTCTCATAAGAATTTAGTGTATTTTATTTTAAGTTTGAAAACAAAAATAATGACGATTGCCAGGGCGATCGCGCGATGGACTAAAACGCTATAGAATTTTCAACAACCACAATGCTTTTTATGTTCTTTTTTTATATATAAGTCTTTACTATGTAAGTAAAAGTGATTTTGTTCTCAAATGCAGCATGCCCACCACAGAGACGGAGAAATCCTTTTAAATGGTTGAAACTGTTATGATATAATGCCAATCTGAAATCCAAGATGCCAGATCATAGATTATATTTTAATACCTCGGCTCGTTTCTATGAAAAATATATGTATATATTTTTGTTATTGCGTTCTAGACTTCAAAGAGGATGTGATGTTAGTACCTAAATTTGAGTAGACAGTTTCTGTCTGAAATCCTAATTGGTCACCTCTCCAAAATATAGTTTAGACCTTTGACGCTTTCGGCTATTCTATTTAAGCTCGCTTGCTTCTTAATGTTCTCAAGTGTCTTATATTGGCCATCAAATGTTTTCTACTGAACTGAGAATAGCTTAACATTTGACATAATGCAAAATATCTAAATACATTATTTTTGCTGGCATGAATTGATACTGATAGCTTTTACTAAACAAATTCAAAAAGATGTCATTTGAAAACAGCTTCTTAAAGTAATTTCATTTGCATCTATCTATTGAACCTCAAAACGACAGCCTCCACTGAACAAGGTTGTAAGTGATATATCCTACTCGAGTAATATAACACCTCTATAGTTCCTGTGGGAATAATTAATTGACAGTGAGTTGTGACAGTTCTTATTTTAAAGTTTGCGATGAATGTGGTATTTTGTAAATATCTTCAACTTGCGTTCATTTGAACTTCTCTTACCATAATCTTGAAATTTGTAGATCAAATTTTATTTTTTTCAGGGAGGAATACCCAACAGTCGTCTCATTTTGGCGTTAGAACCAGAAGCTGCATCCATCTACTGTAAAAACTTACCTGTAGACAGAACTCTTTCTAGTGGTGGACGATCTACTCTCGATGCGTTTGCTCCGGGGACACAGTATCTAATACTGGATGCAGGAGGTAAACGAATGTATCTACCGAATCATTAACAACATATATCTACCGAATCATTAATAACATATATCTAACGAACCATTAAAACACGTATCAATTACAATTAAAATAATATTAATTGTAGCTTAATATTAAACATATTCACATTATGTACAGTGGCTTAAATACAATAGTTAATTAGCCAGACAGGATCCTCCAAATGTTAAGGTGGGAGATACCACCATTGAAGGATTCTAGGGAGGGTGACATGCAAATTGCCTCCGGAAGATCATTCCAAGCTGCAATAGTGTTTGGGAAAAAAGAAGACTTATGATAGTCTTTTGAACAGATATATCATGTTATGGAGGGGTATTTGCGAAAAATACCAGTCAAGAGACTGTTAAATTTCCCGAGCCGCAAATACCCCTCCATAACATGATATATCTGTTTAATTACACGGAATAGATTTGGATTGAAACTAATTCATTAACATGTTTATGCATAATTTTGAGGATAAGAGGATATTATCATAGAACCGCGGGTATTATACATGTACTAGTACGCGTTTTTTATGTAACGTCATATCCGAAAAATTTTGGCGGGAAAATGCTCGAGAGGGTAAAAAAGGAATATCCAAAATGGCGAATACCATGCAGCCGGAACGCAATCATCTGATTTGTCCGTTAAAACCCCGGATATGCGACAAGAGAATCAAGTGGAGATAATTTGGGGAAAAGCTGTCAACAGATGTCGCTCCGCGGTAAAAAGAAAATTGGTGGTGAACGACGCATCGAAAAATCGCAAATTTCATTTAAAATAAACGGAATTATAGTCCGATCGAGAACATATTTCATCTAAAGTATTAAAGCAAAATGAATTTATAAAAAAAGCGAGATGACATAAGCCATTTAAATAAATTCAAGCGATTATTTCCATTTTGTGAAACGGACATTTTTTTCACATCGACTGCCCTGGTCAATTTTTCAGCTCAAAACGAATCATCACACCGCCGGTTTACCTAGTGAAAATAAATATGACTGGTATATTTTGATACATTGAGGCATGGAGAATAGCTACAGTATGGTCACATGACGTTACCAGGCGATTTAAAATACTTAAACGGCCTGTCAACCCCAAAGCATATTTGTAGGTAGCGGGAAAAAAATCCTCTCCTTATTTTTGAAATACGTCCATATTTTGAATCAAATGAAACTTAATACTGGTTAAATCATTAAGAAATTATGTAATCTTGATATTTTCTCCAATATTTAACCTTTCCAGCTAATTTTTACTTATTATTCCCCTTTTCTGCCCCAATGACGTAGTCTGAATATTAAGAGTTCACAGTTGAAAAAGATTGTTGACAAACAATAATTTCCACGTTTTCATCTGCAAAACGTATTTCTGACTCGTTGAAAATTTACAAGACACTAATTAATAAATTTTAAGTCAAAAAGAAAAAGTTTGGGGCAGGGGGCAACATTCAGACCATGAATCTTTTATAAAAAAAAATGTAGCCTTCCTCCAACACCTTAAATACTGAAATTTGTTATCTCCTCTGCATTCTTATGTCCATATATATAATAGCATACAAAAAGAATAAAGAATGGAAATGGGGAATGTGCATTCCAAAATGTACAAAACAACCCAAGCTAGGCCATCAATGTGTCTTCAACACAGCAAGAAATCCTACAAGAGTTGGGCTTGAGCAGGCCTGGAAATGTATGAATTTTGAAGGGGGAGATTTACAGGGACCAATCCCGTCCGCACCGCCTTTTCAAGCTAAATTGATGATTATAGTACATATTTTTTTATGTCTCACTTCTCCCTTTTCATAATCCTTAATCTGCATCTGGTTTAATTGAAATTGCTAGGAAGGGCACTAACTGCCTATTACCCTATTTCTCAGAATCCTTATAATGTCGTTCAATAAACTTTTTTGTTTCTTTTTTGCTAATTTCAAGAAAAATGAAATATGCACATATTTGTATAGGACTGGTGATATTTCACTTTTTCTCCAATTTTAAGGTTACTTCTTTTCTACATTTAGTGTTGACCAACAGTCTTACATACTTACAGACAAATGGATATATTCGTACTTGTATAACATTTGTATAGGTGTCCAGCATACTCATTTTGGGGCTCTTCTACAGCAATTTATTGACATGACAATTAATTCTTACTGTTACCTTTCCTCTAAATGATGAGCTCAGATAATTTAATATGCAGCATTTAAAGCTGGTATGTTATGTTCCATGTAAATGTTTCAATGTTACAATGTTTATGTAGATTCTAAATTGATGTTTACAGTCCCCTACCAACAAAGTTGAAGGGGACTGTAGGTTTGCATCCTGTCCATCAGTCCGTCTGTCAATCAATCCGTCCGGGAAATCAGCTTTCCACACTTTTTTTGTGATGCTTGAAGATATTGGTTTGATATTTGGTATATTATAATATAACCATGACAAGTTACAGATCAAGTTCTAATTTTGTTCCGGTCTGATGAGTTTATGCAGAATTATGGCCCTTGGACTCAGAAAAATCACATAAGTAATCTGTTTTCTGCATATATAGTTTAACCTTTACAAGTTTCAGATCAAGTTTGAATTTTGTTCTGATTTGATGATATTTTGCAGAGTTATATGATCCTTAGTCCTAGAAAAATCACACAATTAATCAATTTTCTGCACTTTTCTTTTTAGTCATGCCAGACTACCATTATACTGATTTGATATTTGGTATCTATAGTTTTAACATGACAATTTACATATCAAGTTCAAATTTTGTTTTGGGGAACAAATAATTTCAACTGGTAGGGGATGGCAATACTCTCAGAATGCTGGATACTATCCATGCTGGTCTGCGTCCACACTTGTTAACCATTCTTATAATTAATACTATATATGCTGTTTCTCGTATTTCACTTTCATTCTATTTGTATGTATTTACTCAGGTTCATATGAAATTGAAGATGTCTGATACATGTAAACAATGTACAATATTCTGTAACTGTCTGCCTTTTGTTATGAATTTCAGGTTCTTTTAAACATAAATAAGAAGTTGAGAGCTTCATAATATGGCCACTGAAATGTTTATTTCATTGTGAAATTTTCTGTGAATTCTGCCTAAAAGGAGTGTCTAAATTTCACTAAAATTTTCATTAATTATATGGGAGGTAACTCTGGTTGCCCTAAATAAAGAGCTGTAAATTAAGTAAAAAGGTGCACTAAGGAAGACAACTCTTACATTTTTTTTAGATTCATTATGAAAAAAGAGTTTTTTGGGGATTTAAAACAATTCGCATGGATTCAATTTAAGATAACTTATATTTAAATATTTAGTTCTATTCTTCTAATTGCACTTTCATGTTTTCAAGTTCTAAAAATGGGGAAATTTAGTATGAGTTTGGATGTTTTCTTGAACAGGTCAAGGCTAAGCTGCTACTGGACAAGACAAAATCATCCCAACTGTGTATTTTTTTTCAACCATGTGATCAAGTAGCAAGTTGTAATATTTTTTTCAAGAACTGCCAAATTTTTGCGGTCGTATATTGGTATCACATTGTCATCGTACGAAGACAGATGGTTTCCAGATAATAACTTTAGTATAAGTAAATAGAAATCTATGAAATTTTAACACAAGGTTTATAACCACAAAAGGAAGGTTGGGATTGTTGTTGGGGGTTATTGTACCAACAGTTTAAGAACAAATTTCCATACTACAAAGGGATGGTTAGGATTGACTTTTGGAGGTTATGGCTCAAACCATTTAGGAATTAGGGGCAAAAAAGGGGAAAAACAAGGATTTTTTTGGTTAAAGGACAATTAAGACAATTTAAAAGCAGTGTAAGGGAGGTAATCCAATCCCATTTAAAGAAAAATGTTGTGTATGGTTGATTACCTGCCTTACAATGCTTGTAAATTATGTATTAAGAAATGATGAATGTCTTGAGGTGATTAGCTGTCAATTTATTTTTTGCAGTTACTATTAATTAATATTAATTTTAGCCATGACTATGTATGTCATTTTATATTTTAAGACTTTTATGATGTATTTAAATGGGTAGTTATGGTTGCAAACTCCATTAGAAAATTGAATTGAGATTCTGACCATATCTTGAGGGATAGAATTTTTTTTGGAATGAGGGAAAGGGGGAGGTGAACAAAATTGGGGGGGGGGGGGGGTGTTTCAATAAGAATTTTTTAGGGGGACAATTTTTCTCATATCAGATTTCAGAAAACTTAAAAAGAAAATTTCTTCAAATACTTTTTTGTGGGGTTAATATTCAACAGCATAGTGTATTGCACAAAAGCAAAAAATTGAATATAAATTCAAATCATATAACCAATTTTAAGTTCTTTGACAACAGTTATTCTGTGTCAGAAACCTATAATGTGTCAAATAATTAATTACAATCCAAACTCAGACCTGTATCAAGTGTGAATATTGTGTCCATTTTGGCCCCAACTTTTCAGGGTTGGACATCTGCCGTTGCATCCAGCTGCGCTCAGCGAAGCAATTTATTTTACTAATTAATTCACATCTGTTTTTTTTTATCTTTATTATTACTTATTTATAATTTCATTTATTTAATTTGATTGTTATTATGGCTTCATTTCCTTTATTTATATTTTTACTTTTTAGTTTTCAACATTATCTTTTGCTTTATAGTTGCATAAGACAGGTCACATAACATTTCATAGCCAATTATAAAACTTATAATTATGAAATTTCAGATTACCAAGTCCCTCTTTTAGAGGTTGGTTATATTATGCTGATTTAATAGTAAGTGGAGGTGATACTTATATTTCTTTTTTTTTTTTAATTTTGTGTAGCTTTATAGTTTGTTAAAAAGCTTTCTTTTAAAAATTTAATGAAATTGCAAAGATTACTTCTTTTGAAAAAAGATTGAAAAGTCTAATTTTAAAAAGTCACAATCATGCAATCAGTTAAAATAACTTATAAAATCCTATTAGAAAGGAACCAAAATAGCAAGACCAACTTTTTTCAAGGAACTGGTTAACTAATAAAAGGTTACCTTTTTTTATAAATGGCCCTGATTTCTCTTTAAAATAATTTACCTAATTTAAATAATTGGTGCTGTGGGTTAAGTTTAAGAATTAAATACTGTCAGGTTGAATGTTAGTATGTTTACATTGTTTATATTAAGATTGTTTTGTTTATAAATAGTTTGCAAATACCCCTCTCTGGCTTTGCTGGTTGTTATATTGTAAATGATAAAGCCAGGAGTATAACTCTTGTGTACTGCTGCTTAACCACAGGCACTTGTCTCAGAAAAAAAATTCCTTTATACCTTAATATGTTATATTTAATGATTGAAGAAGGGTTTTTGAACTATTAATTAAGGGGTAATGAACAAGAGTTCTGCTCATGATTTAGTTCAAAAGAACTGATTATTTTTTATTGAAAAATTTAACATAAAATTTATTACATGTAAATGCACTTTGCAGAATATTCTGTATGCCAGATATAATCTAGTAACTTTAATTTATTTCATCTGGATTTTTTTTAAAGGAAGATGAAGATCATTAATATATTTTTTTTAAATGATTTTTTGCTAGTTAAATTATTCGAATAAAATATCCTCTGGTTATTGTTAGAACAGTATGGACAAAAAATTTATTTTTGTGGTTTCAATTTTAGTTCAAATAAATAGATATTAAAACAATGTTTTTTTCATTGACATTTATTAAGAAATAAAAACCATGATTCCATGAAATATTTTTTCAATCCATTCTTACAAATATCAGGAGTGTATCCACCATTAAAACTGGTGGACGTGTTAAATTCAAACAGTCAGCTTCTAGAGAACACCATTTACTTCAATTAAGTACATAAATTTGTAACAGATGAGGGGCATGATGATCACTGTTTATATCCTGACGGGACTAACCTCCTTCCAATTACAGTTATCAGATACACTAACAGGAAGACACGATATTTAACAAATGACCGCTTTTCAATGATATTTTTATAAACTGAAACTCACATTTTTATTAAACTTTCTATTTTGTGCCCAGTAACACTGCTTACAAATCAATAATAAGGGGAAAACATTTGTTCAATCAGTCATTTATGATCACCGTCGTATTGTTGTTGTTTTGGGATCGAGTTATTCCCCTTTAAACGTCCTATTTTTCGACTTGTTGAATCGTCACTGGGCCGGTTTACCTGTCGAGTTTTTCTATCAGTGGGCTTTTCTTCAACACAATATCAATAGTTATCATCTCATCTATAGGAATAGACGTTACTATTTCGTGTGTCATTTCAATTTACATTTATTTATTTTCAAGTGTCACTTCCGCGGCCCGTATTTTCATCTTTCACCACCAAATTTGCAATGAAATATTGTATTTTCAGCCTTTTAATAATAACGTAGTGAAAGTTTGGAAGCTACCGCATCAAAGGGTATACTTGGTTTAGAATGGGAAACAGGTTAAATGTCTTTACGCAGCCTTTTTCGTGACGTCAATGCCATTTCTAAAAAATGCCATTTTTTTGAATGGAAAAGCACGTGAGCTTTGTCGCATTTTCGACGCCATTATGAGAATTGCTGCCCGGCTGATGGTATTTGAGGCAAATTCACCGGCAGTGGTGAAAAACAGGCAAATTCGTTTGAAATGAGGAAAAATATTAGAATATGCGAAAAATACACTGGCTATCAACCAATCAAAATCTGGCTTTCTTATATAAGGTGTAATTAACTTGTATATATATGCCGAAACGTATGTTGTCCTCTAGTATGCCTGTCCGATTGTGTCAGGACGTCATTAGTGACTCCAACCAACCCCCCATTAATCTTATATCTATTAACATGCATATCTACCGAACCATTTACAACACGTACTAACGAGCCCTTTAAGCTAACTACATGTATCTACCGAATCATTAACAACATGTATCTACCGAACCATACACCTTATCGCTAATCCCGCTTGACCCGAGAATCAGTCCCGCTCGAACTTTTGACGTCATACAACAATCACTTTTCCATTGTGGCGTCAGATATTTTCTATTATGACGTCAAAATTTTACGGGAACTTGTGTGATGTCCAGTAATGGCGGACAAATAGCGATAATGTGTATTAATAACATGACTGTATCTGCCGAACCATTAACACTATGTATCTTCCGATCCATTAACAACATGTATCTGCCGAACCATTAACAACATGTATCTACAGAACCATTAATAACATGTATCTGCCGAACCATTAACAACATGTATCTACCGAACCATTAATAACATGTATCTGCCGAACCATTAACAACATGTATCTGCCGAACCATTAACAACATGTATCTGCCGAACCATTAACAACATGTATCTGCCGAACCATTAACAACATGTATCTGCCGAACCATTAACAACATGTATCTGCCGAACCATTTACAACACGTACTAACGAGCCCTTAACTTCATGTATCTACCGAATCATTAACAACATGTACATGTATCTACCGAACCATTTACAACATGTATCTACCGAACCATTTACAACATGTATCTACCGAACCATTAGATTCAAATTGAATAATTTTGGTCAAAGATGTCCTTCAATTCAAACATTTTTAAATTGTTGCAGCAATGCATATAACTGAATAACTTTTAAATAATTTTGAAACTATGCACATATAAATACTAATTTAAACGGTTCCAATTTCATTGTGTCCTATACCCGTTTTGACAATTAATGTCTCTTCAGAGATATTCGAGGCCAAACAAACTTTAAACAAATGATACAACCCGAAAAGGACAAAACGTATAACCAATCACAGACAATGAATCAGAATCACAAAGGAGATACACTTATCACTACTAAAAACAAGCATTCTGAGAGTATTGCATGACAATACATACTCCCCTGCCGGTTAAAAATTCATAGTCTGGAACAAAATGCTAACTTGATCTATAACTTGTCATGGTGTAAACTATATATCAAATATTAAGTCAATATCTTCAAGCATGACGAAAAAAAGTGTGGAAAACTGATTATTTGAGTGAATTTTCCAAGTCCAAAGACCATAACTCTGCACAAATTCATCAGATAGGAACAAAATTCAAACTTGATCTGTAACTTGTCATGATAAAACTATATACCAAATATCAAATCAATATCTTCAAGCACAAACAAAAAAAGTGTGGACAATTGATTTGCCGGATTGACAGATGTACAGACAGACATAAAGACAGACAGACAGACAGACAGACAGACAGACAGACGGACAGAGTGCAAACCTAAAGTCCCCTTTGACTTCGTCGGTAGGGGACTAAAAACAGAATTCATATTTCATGTAGGTCCCGAAGTAATGACTCACATGCCACCTGCAGATGTACCTTATTGGTGATAATAACATAAACGGAAACAATTTTGCTGCACCAGATGCCCATTTCGAATCCTCATTGATGACCAAAACCAAATGTAAATAAAAAAAATCCCTAATACAAGAGCAGATATAACCGAAACAGATAAAAAATATAGCCAAATTATAGACAAGGAATCCGTGCTATATAAAATAGCGAAATATGTTTTATTTATATAATTTACTAGTCTTCTATTAGATTTTATCAACTTTACATTTGCCCTGCTGATCTGTGAGTAAAACACATAGGAAATGTGCCCTATACATTTTGTTAAATCTGACCTAGTTTTATAAAATGGTCACATAAACCGCGATGCTTACAAATCACACATAATAATCAAATTCTTTTCATTACTGTCTTTAATTTTAGGTGGAACGGTTGATATTACTGTACAAGAAATAAAAGACGATGGCGACATCAAACAGATATATATGGCCAATGGTGGAGATTGGGGCGGAACTAAAGTCGACGAAGCATTTGACGAATTCCTGACGGATATTGTTGGTTCAGATACAGTGGACAAATTCCGGAAGGATGACAAAGTCGATTATCTAGGCCTCTGTAGGGAATTTGAAGTGAAAAAGCGAAGTATTCGCCCTGACAGCACAGCTAAAATAACAATTCGAATTCCATTAAGTTTAAGTGACAGATTTCAAGAAGTGAAAGGAGTTTCACTGAAAAATTCCTTCAAATCAAACAAATCAATGTCGTGGGTTGGTGATAAATTACGTGTCGATCCTGACACTGCTAAAAAATTCTTTGAAGAACCATGCAAACGCATTGTTGACCATCTGAAGGATTTATTCCAGGAAGGAGCAGTTGCAGACACAGACATCATTTTAATGGTTGGTGGTTTTTCTGAATCACAAATGCTGCAGGAAGCAATAAAGTCAGCATTTCAAAACAAAACTGTAATAATTCCAGAAGATGCAGGTCTTGCAGTGCTCAAAGGCGCAGTTCAGTTCGGATTTAATCCTAAGGTTATAAGTCCAAGAATCATTCGATACACTTTTGGAGTGTGTACAAACATACGGTTCCGTCCACATACCGACCCCGAAGAAAAGAAACATATCACTAATGATACAATGTATTGCCGGGATAGATTTGGAAAGCATGTTGAGAGAGGAGAGCCTATTGATGTAGGGGAGATAACAAATACGAAAACATACAATCCATTAAGAGAAAACCAAAGTAAAATTGAACTTCCTATCTATTCTTCTCGTTCTGAAGATCCACAATACGTCGACGAAGAAGATTGTACATACATTGGGAAATTTGAGGTAGATTTGTCAGATGTAAGTGGTCCTGATCGGGATGTCGAGATCGGGATGAGATTTGGGGGAACTGATCTTGCTGTTGAAGCTATTGTAAAATCAACAGGACAAAAAATTGAAGCAAATTTCAGCTTCTAGTATTTGTGTCTGATTAAATCTAAATGAAGGTTTTTCGTATCTTATATCAAAAACCGTGGACCAGCATATAAAGTGCCATATGCATTGTAAACATAGTTTATTGAGACAGATTCATTGTACATGTAAAGTACAGTATATAGTTTAGTTTGTTATACTTGCTACATGACACTAAGCGTGAATTTCATTAATTACATTATAACTATAGTTTTAGATTCATTACTGTTCAAAGGGCTGTAAAAAAAAAATCTGTTTTATAGAATTAGATTCCAAAAAAATATTAATATTCCCTTATATATCAGTATTAGTACCCAAAAAAAAAAACATTCGTGTGATTTTTTTTTACAAGTTTTATATTCAATAGCTTGATTTGGAGAACATAATAACGAATTATGACTGCTTCATACTTATGCGGTCAACTCAAAATGATTGCAAAATAGTAGGCAGTGGTCCTACTCACAAAATTGTAATGGTATATAAGAATAAGAATAAGAATAAGAATATTTATTATTCCAATCAAGGGCCCTTGATGGGTAACATAACATGTACACATAAAACAATACATCATGATTTGTAACAGAAAAACATTTTTATATATTAAAATGAAACATTGAAGGTATATTTGGCTGTTCTCTATAAATATCTTGTTCAGGCACCCTTAAGTGTTCAGTGGCTGTCTGTTCTTACAGTTCTTCCCCTTCCACACTTTTGCTACTTGGTACCTCTAAATTTATTTTTAAATATTTGGTTTCAAGCATCGCTACATTAAAATAAATTATCGAAATTCGCATCTGTCCAATCATGTTATAATCGTTATCGTGTAATTCCATATCACTATTTATATTCTTTCTTGTTTTCTTGTAATGTATGAAATCCAATTCAAAAAAAGTTACTGAAGATATATGCACGTGTTGTTTACCTTATGTAAAATGGGTTTATATGTAAAAATGGTGAAGCAGGAGAAGAACCCTCGATTTACCTGCCCATGTGTATCTGTAAGATCCTTGTGATATGATATTACAGTGCGTACACAGATACCATCGAAACTTTTATGAAGTTGAATTTCAGTAGGCCTCTTAAAAACCGTTTTAATGCAATTATTATATATTTAAAAAAAAAATATATACCTAAAATTAAAATTGTTTTTATGTATATTTAAGTGAGGAGTTCGATCCACATACCTGCAAAAAAAATCTGTTTTGCCCATTCTTCCTACGTTTAATGAACTAGATTACAGTTTTAATCAAATGTTACGTAACAGCAGTAAAAGTATTTTTTTAATCAATTTTAACACAATTAAGTCAAAAAGAAAAAAATGAAAGAAAAACACTTTAACGTGTATATTACCATATAAAGTTGTTTGTGAAATACCAATTGTATATTAAATGCATGCAGTTATTTTTGCGTTTGTTCAAAAACCCTATGCTATTTTAAAACATTGATCCGTAGTAAACAAGATTATTGGTATTTTTCTGGATTCTAGTTTATTCCAACATTCTTAAGTTACAAAATGGTATAGATATGTTAACTCTCAAAAATTTTTAAATGGCATTTATGTTTTTCATCCTATTTTGAATCAGTTTTCTCTTTTGAATTTCAAAAGAAATTTGTAGCTGACATGTACAATGGTATGAACCCAACAATGATATAAAAATTATAATGAATGTCACTCTCGTGATAAAAAAACAGAACATGAGACGAAGTGCAAAACTTCAGCTAAATTTTTTTTTACTCCCAATTTCTGGTAATGGAAGATTTAAAATTTACCACAATTCTTTTCAACTGATGATGGCAGTCCAAGGGTGATTGATTGTTGTGTGCTTAGCATCCAGTGTCAATAAATATGTCATGCATATTCAGGACGGAATGTTTATAATTTAACTTGTTTACAGACGATGACAACATTTCACACATGCATTTTTCGTCAGATGTGAAAACCCGTATTTCTAGAGATGCGTCAATTTACCTTAAGTTTATAAATCAAGTTTTATAATAATGTATCGTATACTCTATACGCTCATATCTATTATTCTAGTATGAAGACATGAATGAATACAATACTGTATATAGTGTTGCCGATAGCCCAGCAAGCATAGTGGACAACGGAATTTATTAATTTATTTACATACATGTATCTTAATATATATATATATATATATATATATATATATATATATAAATAAGTCTAAATTGAAAACAACGTTCAAACCTATTATTGCGTTGGATAAAAACCGCAATTTTTATACGTGTGCATGCAAAACAAATTTCTTGGTAGAGGGGTCTAAATACAACACAAACAACATTTTCCAAAAGACCAAAAAAGTGAAAAAGTATATTTAAACAAAACGCATTTGACTAACAGGTCGAACAACGGATGTTCTTAAACCCTGCTGACTGCCATTGGCGATTGCCAAATAAATGGATCACAAGATGTAACAAAACGGATCTTTATTATTAATTAAATACCAAACAGAAAACAATAAACTTGCGGAAAAGATGGTATACCGCAATCATGAGGTGCAAAAATTTGTACACCATATCCGGATTTCGACAATTAATGTCTCTTCAGTGATGTTAGGAATCGAAACGGTATTTGAAAGGCCATATAATTTACCTCAATTTAGTATAGACTCTTGAATTTTGAAGAGTCGAAAAAGGATGAACGGATCATATAAACCCGAAGGCAAATGTAATACAAGCCCAAACGAAAAAATATAAATAAGTCTAAATTGAAAACAACGTTCAAACCTATTATTGCGTTGGATAAAAACCGCAATTTTTATACGTGTGCATGCAAAACAAATTTCTTGGTAGAGGGGTCTAAATACAGCACACACAACATTTTCCAAAAGACCAAAAAAGTGAAAAAGTATATTTAAACAAAACGCATTTGACTGACAGATCGAACAACGGATGTTCTTAAATCCTGCTGACTGCCATTGGCGATTTCCAAATAAACGGATCACAAGATGTAACAAAACGGGTCTTTATTATTAATTTAATACCAAACAGAAAACATATATATATATATATAAACATATGAAAAAACAATAACCGCAATTTCTCCAAAAACGAAACCATGATATATACTATAAGGTACAACTTAGCTAGAATAATGTAAACCTTATAGGAACAAGAACTATTGTATGGTTGACATGAATGTAAACTGAATAACTGAATAAATGAATAACTTGATCATGAACGACCTCGCCGGCCAGGAACAACCAAACAAACCCAATAATGGGATCAACTGGAAACCTGGGTCCGACCCAATGCGACAAGTCGTCTCACGAGACATACTCGGACGTGTATTGTTTTGAAAACATATAAATACATGTATCATAATATATTCATAATATGAATGGAACTTGAATGTTGCCCTGTCTGCGGCGGGCTAGAAAGTGATAATCTCAGGGAAAAAAATTCCCACTATAAAATAGTCACGTGTCTTATATACCTTGTGACTTAAACTTATAAAAACTATACGCTAGTACCGTACATACAATAATTTCTCCCTATACTAACGAAACCTGAGAAATTATACATATTGGTAAACATACATACAGGTGAGTGTGGCTCAAATTGTTAATATTTATTGGTGCAAATAATACTATAAAAAAAAATGAGTCGACCAGAACCAATGCCAACAATTATAGGGCACTCTTTGGTCTTCAACTATAAGAAAAATCCATACCGTATAGCAAGCCATAAAAGCCATCAGCATAACAAACAATTCAAAGGGGAAATAAACCAACGGTCTAAATTATGCTGAAATAACGAAGTTATACAATAAGGTTTGCTCACTGTTGAAGGGCGTTATGTGACTAATAGTTGCTTAATTACGTCCACTAGTCCAGCGGATATAAAAATAATTGATTATTTTATGGTAAAAGCATGAAACTTGACATAGTGAAAGATTAAGGGGTATTATCAAAATAAAGATATGGAGCCACGTCAAAAAATTCAAAATAGTCGCCAAATTTAAGATGGCCGACAAACGGTACGAGGAATACAACATCATACACTTGATGAAGTGGACCAATATGCAAGAGTTCAGTAGATATCATAAATTTAAGGAAATCCATTTAAGATATACCAATAACTATATTTTCAATTGTATTACTGGTACAGAATTAGTCAAAATCGCGTCCAAATTCACAATGGTACCGTAAAAAATATGCGAGTTTGACGGTAATGATATATATACACTATCATTGTGTTAATATAGAAAGTTAACAAATCTGTGAAACTAATTATGGGTTAAAGACACAGGACCACAATTGATTAATTATATCAGGGGACATAGATTATATTTTCAAAATGGCGGAAAATGAAAAATGGAGCCGTCAAAAATGTCAAAATTTTACATTTTTTTTGTTATTATGTGGTATTATATACATATTCAGATTGATACAAAAATAATGAATCATTCATTTGGATACAAAGGCAAACCAACATAAAATTTTTTGTAAGAGGTGTTATAAACTATGGAATAAAAATGGCCGCCACAATTCAAAATGGCGTCTCTGAAAAGATGTAAATATACACTGTTATAGTTAATGCCTACATGACTTCAGAAAATCTTTCAATTTACTGCCAATGAAAAATATGTGAGAAAACTTACAACTTCATATTTCTTATATCAAAATGGCAGCGAAAAAAAATTGGTGCCTCAAATGGAACTTTTTGGCATAACAACTTTAAAGAAAGGCAACAGTAGTATACCGCTGTTCAAAAGTCATAAATCGATTGAGAGAAAACAAATCCGGGTTACAAACTTAAACCGAGGGAACATATTCAAGTTATTGATAACTTATATAATTAAATTAGATCCAACTGCTGGATATTCAGTCTCAATCCATTTCTCTTTACCAGTCTGGTGAGCAGTTACATAATTCCTGTATTTCAATGATGCTTTCAAGAATGTAAATGTCCCTCAACATCCTTGCGTTCAGCAACAACGGATGAGCTCTTGACATGAAATTGCAAATTCTGCAAGCCCTTACCAGAATAGTAGCCACGTACCATCAATTTTTTGCCAATCAAATCTGGTGATGGCATACTAGGATATGCGATTAAATAATTACCCTCAAATAACACAAGTTAGCTATACATTTCGTATGTTGTAGTAGCGCATCTCTTGTCGGAGGAATATTGTCAATTGTTCTTTTCTTTTGTATGAAAAGATTTTTACTTAATTAATTCACTGTATCAAATAACTAAACTGATCATACAGAGACAAAACATACCGTCCCATAACTTGTATTACTTTTAATATTTCCACTTCATTTAGATTATCAATAAGCACAAATGATTCTGACATTTCATCATAAACGGACCCAAGCTGATAAGTACACTTCCCCTGGTACTGTGTCACAACTGTTAAAGAGATGAAATAGAAAAAAAGATTTTCGATTTCAATGGTCCTAAAGCAAGGCATACTCCATAAACTGAAATATACCGATAGTTCATTCAAGTGTCAAACCTATTCACAACGGTTCAATCTGCAATCTGTTGAAACAATAGAAAAACAAGAATGTGTCCATAGTACACGGATGCCCCACTCGCACTATAGTTTTCTATGCTCAGTGGACCGTGAAATTGGGATAAAAACTCTAA